GAGCAGCCATAAGTGAGCCCCAGGTCATTTGAAGTGGTGGAGTTCCTCACCCCTCCCTGGTGTGGGAGCGCCGTGCTCCAGAGAGGTGGTGTTGGGGAAGCCATTCCCAGGCCTTTCTTCTCAGCAGCCGCTGGGTGGACAGGAACTTCCAACCTTTTGTTTAGCAGTTGAGTACGGGAATCCTGTGCACCCCCCAGGACCTCCACATGGTCCCATTGGCCGACTCACAAAAGGTAAAGAGAAACAAGTGCGATGCCCCTTAAGAAGTTATTCATCCCACTAGACAACACGGTCACCCAGTCCACATGTCGCAGTGAATGAGGGCTCTGAACGTCCCCTGGACTTGATGAATAATGTGTCCTTACAGCACCTCTCCATGTGTTCTAGTCACATGACCAGCGCTCAATCGCTGCTCCCCGGGGCCAAAGGCGATTGATTGCATGAGGTAGCCACGGTGGAGCTCCATCTGAAACGACGGAGGAGAGTGACAAACATTCTCTCCAGTGAAGACATCAGTCGAGGTAGCCTAGAAAAGATCAGACCCAGGGGACCAGGGGAAGGGAATTCCTGTGTCTGACCCTGTGGGGACATGTCCTCCACATATTCAGTCCTCGCACTGTGTTGCCATATGAGGCAGCTTTAAAAGGTTGGATGCCATGATCCCCCGCCCATTAACTGTTCCCGTGAACTCTTTGATGCTCCCTTGCACATGTGAAGAAACAGAAATGTAGGAAGGTCCATTGTTTGCCAAAGCCCTAGAGCTACTCTCAAGGACTAGACCTTAAACCCAAAGCCCTTGGGCTGCAATGTCAGAGCCACTCGAGAGTAATCCAGACACTTAGACCGCTCTCGTCAGCCCCAGAGACCGATCGATCGGTAGATCCAGCTCTGGACCCCAGAACCCGCATTTCTGCTGGGCACCCCGGGCCATTGGTGAAGAGATCCTTCCACCACACCCCGAGGCAGAGTGGGCAGAGGGCTTTGCTCCAGGCCCTCTGACAGCCTGTCCCGCTCCCCAGACCCCTTCCTCCCGCCCACCCTCTGCTCTGTTCCCAGGAGACCACAGAGCTGAAGGGATCTGGACTGAAAGGGGACCGTGCTGGCGCTTTCCAAGAATTTAATGGAAAGCCAATGAGAGAAGAGCCCGCTTCACGGGAATCTCTTCAGCTAAGGGGGCTACTTTTCGTGTCCTCAAAGAAAACAAGGTACTTATTGGTGGGGAAATAGTGGGTTGGCGCAACAATAGAACAAGACTCGGGAAGATACATTTTCTATTCAACAATTCATGCACATTCTGTTTCATGTCGTTGATTGCAACCCCCACAATGTAACAACATTTATTACAAAAGAAAGAAAGAAAGAAAGAACAAGGTTCCGTTGTATCTTGGCCTCCCCCCTCCCCCCCTTTTCTTTTCTCTGTTTAAAAATCCAGGCCAGTGTTTTTCTATACAATGTACACAATGTGAACAGCAACATCCTAAATGTTTGGCAGGACATTCATGCTCATGACATCACATGCTGGGCGGACAGGGAGGCCACTGTGGGGCTGCCCCCGGGAGAGGCAGCATCAGTGTGGCCTTTGAGAGAGCCTCACAAAAGCGTGTGTGACAGCCAGATGTGCAGCCGAGCGAGCCGAGACTGAAGCAGGATTGTGGGCGGAACATTGCGCATGCCGCTTATGGCTCGAATGGCAGCTCTTGAGGAATCGATATTGCTCAAACGCACCCCGAATCTCAGAGCCCAGGCTTTGTGGCCCCGGACAGTGGGAGGGAGTGGAGATGGAGGGACGTGTCACTGCTCCATGCCTCCCTTTCCACTGTTGAACAGGAGGGCGTGGAAAGGAGAAGCTGATTTTAGGGGACTGTGGAAGGTAAGGATCACTGATTCCTTCAGGACCCCTGGGGTTTCTTCAACCAAGGTGACGTGGGTTTCTCTCCTCTCCTGCCGAGTTACTGGCGGCTGTGCTTTGCAAACTGTATGGAGCACAGGCTCTTAGATCACCTGGATTCTTGCTCCCTCTCGATGTTCATTCGGCAGGCCTAGGGGAGCGACCAGGGGCTTCCCAACGATGGCTGGCCCTAGACTCTGAGGTCGAGGGGCACCCCTGGGAGGTGCACCTGGCCACCATGCTTGGTTGCTAACAGAAAAGTTGGCGTTCCCCCCAGAGGTGCCTTAGAAGAAAGACCGTCTGCTGCCCCACAGCAGTCATTGCCAGTCCTCAGGGGCCCAGTGCTCCACAGCCACACCCGAGGGTGCCATCGCTGGCATCGACTCCACAGTGATTGCTTCTGTTTAGGACATTCTTAGCTCCCCAGGCCATCCCTCTGCTGGTATGAGGGGCGCTTCAAAAAGTGTGTGGGAGAATGGCATTAAGAAAGAAGTGATTCCGCCACCCCCAATCCCCCTCCCAAGAGCGTTTGGAAGTCCCCTCATACAGAACAAAGACATCTCTTTCCAAGACAGCACTGGGACAGTGTCTTTGCCCTTCAAAATAATTCCAGAGCATCGCTGGCCAATAAACACTACTGTCACAGAACCATGTGTTTAGCTTAAAAGATTTTTGTTTTTTACTCAAATATTCATAGTTGGAGCTGGCTGGAATAGCTGGCTCATAAAGTTGATTGTTAAGTTTTCAGGAATTCTGTGGGTCTGCCGAGTCCTGGTAGCAATGTTTATACCACAGAAACCAGTATATGCTACAAACGCCCCTCCCTCAGGCTGTACACACTTTTCAGCCAGTTAGTGAACATGGATTGACTCGTATACCACTGTTCAGCTCTTGGAGAATCATCCAATTACCTATCTCAGCCCTGAACAGATTTTTGAAAAAATATTTTTATTGAGATATAATCAATGTGTCATGATATTCAATAGGTCCAGCACGTTACGAAGGGCCGTCCTCGCCATAATCAACGTTGGGATATTTTCTTCCTTTTTTGTTCCTATTGGTGTTGACTCCCCATTTCCACCCACCCTCCCCTTCCGTGTCGGCAGCTAATGAATGAGTGATCCAT